GCTGCCGTTGTTTCAGTAAGTGGATTGATTGGCTGTGTGGCTATATCATGATTGGTAGATTGGTGCTAATTGGTGCTGGCTGTGTGTCCATTGTTGTTTTGTGTTGTAACGGCCTGGGTGGTGGGTGGGGCTCGTTTGTTGATTAGGGCTGGTTTCCAGATGTCTGGTAGGTGGGAGGTATCGTCACGTTTATTCATGTTGTGGGGGTGTTTCTCTAGATCTCAGTGAAACAACTCACTTTCTGTTCATACAGTATGTGCACCCAGGCATACAGGTTTGTGCACATTTGTGTGCACACACACACACACACCTGCACACCTGTTTCCCCAAAACTAAGACCTCCCTGGATAATAAGCCCAATCAGGCTTTTGAGAACATCCACTAAAATAAGCCCTCCCTCAAAAATAAGCACTCTCCAAAAATATTGCAACACAGCAGCAGCCATGAGATGACCACACTCACCGCCACCTGCACCTCAAAAGCAATAAGACCTCCCCCAAAATAAGGCCAAGTGCTTATTTCGGGGGTGAAAAGAAAATAAGACTCTGTTTTATTTTTGGGGAAACAAGGTACTAGTATACAGGTGGTCCGCAGCTTACAACCACAATTAAGCCCAACATTTATGTTGCTAAGCGAAACATTTGATAAGTGAATTTTTATTTTTATGACCTTTCTTTTTGGTTAAGTGAATCACTCCAGATGTTACATTAGTAATATGGTTAAGCGAATCTGGTTTCCCCCATTGATTCTGCTTGTCAGAAGGTCACAAAAAGTGTTGACATGACCCCAAGACATTGCAACCATCATAAAAATGATGGTTGTCAAGTGTCTGAATTTTGATCACCATAGGAACGCTGCAACGGTTATAAGTATGAAAACCGGGCATGTAACTTTGAACGGTCAGTAAATGAACTATTGTAAGTTGAGAACTACCTGTAGTCTGAAAAAATGTGATTGTGAGACCTGTTTCATTTTGCCCAAGGATGTACCTGGAATGCTTCAGGGGCCTAGAAGAGTTTTCCAGGAGACGGATATTTTGTCTCCTTGGGCATGTTACATTAAAAAAAAAATCAACAATCAAGATACTGTAATTATTGCATTCAGCATTTCCCTGCCTCTTGAAGTGGATGTAAAGCGAGATTGTGCACAAAGCTCAAGATATTTACTAAACATATCCAGAAAGATGGTGAAAAAGAAGGAAGGAAATCAAGGTGAGGCTCCATCATAGTTCTTATCTCTTCAGAGTGTAAAGTCATTCAAATCACCTAGACTTTTTTCCTCAAGTTTTTAATTTTTTTAATTTATTTTTTTAAAAAAACTCATCTAGACTTCAATGAATTTTTCCCCTTTCGAAAACAGTTCTATGCACTCCCAAAACTGCCTTTTTTCAAGAGGAAACTGGACTTTTCTTTAAAGATGTTTCACTTCTCATCCAAGCAGCTTTTTCAGCTCTGTTGCCTCTTGAAAAAGCACCTTTGGGACAACCACGAACTGGATGACTGAGAATCTCCATAGACAGTTCCATGCAATGCACCAAAGTTTCAAGACTGAGGGCAAACTCGAAAAATACAACTATTGCTTTACCACTTGACTAACGGAGGTGAGTTTTCTCCCCTCCCAATTCAAGTCTGACAAAGCATTGCACCCAGCGCAGGAAAACCCTCGTGTTTTCATGACCCTGACATTTGGCGTTAAAGAGCTAATTTTAAGTAACACTTTTTACAGTTAAAAGTTGCTGCCTCTAACAAGCTTAACCTCCTGTTTTTTCCCTTTTAAAAGCCCTTAAGGCAAGAGGAAGGGCCCCCACATTTCAGCCCTGCCCCACCGAGCACAACCCTTCATTACACTGACACCCTTTGAAGTCCTCAGAGGGACCACTAACCACAAAAAAGATGGTCTGGTCCTAGGAGATACCGTCACGAAACATAGTAGTTAAACACACAATACAGACAAGCAGTTGGGCAGGATGTGGTGAGTTCTTTCACTGCAACTGGAGTAGCACCTGAGGGGGTTTTCCGGCCACCGTGTTAACTCTATTACCCAAGGTGGGTGGGGCTGCTTCTGGGGGAATCAAGCCTGCTTTTACTGTAGAAATGGTGGTGCATTTTTTAAGGAGATTATTTTGTCCAAAGAGAGTCCACCCACCCAACCTCTCTCTTGCACAGAGAGCCTGGACTAAAGAGAGATGCCAGCTGTGGGTTCTTCAAGTTTTGTGTTGAAGTTGTACAGCTGAAAACTTCCACTATCCTTATTATTCATATTGTTCTCAAGAAAGGGATCCAGTAAGGAGAATCTAGTAATGGAGGAACCTAATACAAGTAACCCTTGGCTTATGACCATTCATTCAGTGAAAGGGTACTATGCACTATGTCAACTGCATAGAAAGAAAATTTGTACAAAGTATTTTATATATGGCATTTTGCACTGGCAAGATTGGCCAACATGTGTAAAGATAGATCTGCTAAATGTTGGAAGTGTAATCAACCATCATATGTGGTGAAGTTGCCCCAAAAAATATTGGATGAAAATACACACTTGGTTGGAAAAAATGATAAAGCAGCATATAGACATGAAACCAGAGATATTTTTTGTTGGGCATTCTATTGGAAAAATATGATAAAAACACTATATATCTGGTTTTACATATACTAACTGGAACCAGTCTTGTATTTGCACAACAATGGAAAAATGAGATTCCAATCAAATGAGAATGTTATTAAGAAAATACTAGAATGCGCAGAAATGTACAGACTAATGCTTACGATTAAGAATAAAGAAGAAACTGAATATTTTTTTGACGTGGGATGTATTTTATCAATGGTTAGACAATAGCAGTTAGAAAAGAGAAGATATAAAAAGGGAAAATGTTAATGTGGAGAGAATGTGAAGGTGAAGATGTTATGTGTCATTGCAATTATATTACTATATAGTTGTATTATTAATATTATTGTGATGAATATAACAACAAATATGTGGATTATGATTGTTCATAAACTGTACCCAGATCACACACTGTTTGGTGAAAATGGAAAGTAATATAAACAAAACGAATAAAACATGGGGGGAAAGGGTACGGCACTGACAAAAAGTTATCTATGACCATTTTTTATACGTACAACTGTTGCAACATCTCCATGTCCATGTGATCAAAATTCAGCCAAAATTTGGCTAGTGGTTTATATTTATGACAATTGCACTGCCTCCGGATCATGAGTCCACTTTTGCAAACTTCTGACAAGCAAAGTCAGTGAAGAAGTAGATTAGCTTAACATAATTACAACTACAGTGATTTGCTTAACAACTATGGCAAGAAAGATTGTTAAATGGGGCAAAATTCACTTAATAAAAGTCTCACTTAGCAATATCAATTTTGGGCTCCATTGGGATTGTAAGTCGAGAACTACCTGTAATTAACTTTTTCTTCTTCTTCTGCTCAGTTGTGTCTTATTAGCACTTAGCACTTAGACTTATATACCATTTTACAGTGCTTTTATAGCCCTCTCTAAAGCAGTTTGCAGAGTCAGCCTATGGCCCTCAACAATTTAGGTCCTCATTTTACCCACCTCGGAAGGATGGAAGGATGAGTCAACCTGGAGCCTGGTGAGATTCTAACTGCCAAATTGCAGGCAGCCGGCAGCAGAAGTAGCCTGCAGTACTGCACTCTAACCACTGCGCCACCGAGGCTTATTCTTGGAGACTGCCTGAAGAAGTCCCTGAAATTTTCTTGGCAAGGTTTTCCTCCTCTCCCCAGAAATGGTGTGCCCTTGCCTGCTTCTTAGGGTTGAGAGAGAGTGATTGGGCCAAAGTTACCCAGCCACCCAAGGTGTGAGTAGAACTGACAATCTCCTAGTTCCCTGGTGCCTTTAATCATTACATCAAACTGATTGAGGTATTATTAAAAAATATTCTCTGAACATGCCCCTCCAACCTCACTGGAGATCACTATTTCTTCAATGCAAATATGGATTTTGCTATTGCTCTCCAGTGATTTGCATTTAGGGTTTGCATTCAGAGGTATTTCTCTAATATTAATTCAGTATTTTTAAAGATAGAGGAAGAAGCAGTGGTAGACAACAGGAACGAACGAAGAAAAGGAAAAGATGTCCCAAAGATTTTTTTTTTTCCAAAAGGCAAGGGGAGGATGAAAAACGGGCCTACCGGAAGTTCAGGAAGGCTGGAAATGGGCCCGTTCACTTAACTCGATTCCATGATTTTTTTTTAAACCCAATCCATTAGAAAGAATTAAAATAAATAAAATTGGCATTTTAAATTAGGCCTGGATGGCAAAAAGCCCCCGAGACCAGCAGTCATCTGGTCTCAACAGAAAACAAGCCATCTGGGCTGGCCAGCCTGTTTTTGTGCTGGGGAGCATGGAACACGATGTGCTTTTGCAGCCTCTGAGCATGTGCAGTGATATCAACTACACAAACCTCACTTTGTGGCAGCACATGATACAGGCACATGCGGATGGGAGGGGAGGGGCTCACCCTGGTTCAATGATGGCTAATCTTTTTCTAAAGGTATCCCAAAACTATGTGTGCAAGTGCTATCACACGCATGCCCAAGCGACCCCCTACTGCGCATGTGCGAGCAACCCCCATGCAGGGGGGAATTTTCACCTTCACCGGGCTCTGGAGGCTTTCCTGAAGCCCGGAAAGGGTGAAAAACGGCCCAACGGCCCAACCGGAAGTTCATTCCGGTTGGGCCATTGGGCTGTTTTTTCGCCCTCCTTAGGCTTCAGGAAAGCCTCCAGAGCCTGGGGAGGGTGAAAAACAGGCCCAACTAGCAAACCGGAAGTTCATTTCCAAACTTCCGGTTGGGCCGTTTTTTGCCCTCCCTAAGCTCTGGAGGTGAAAACAGCCTCTCCTGACCCCCCAGAAGGCCGAAAATCAGCTGGCCAGCATGCTCATGCGCGCCAGAGCTGATGGCTTTCAAGGGCTGCCGTGCCAGAAAATATGGCTCCATGTGCCACCTGTGGCATTCATGCCATAGGTTTGCCATCATGGCCCTGCTAGTTAGTCCTGCTTTGTTGCAGACACCACTTTGCAAACATGGTCATGATTGGAAGGTCTGTTTTTGGGAGGGGGGGGCTGTCTAAATAGATTCTGGGGGACCTGAACACAGATAGTCCTCATGACCACAATTGAGCTCAACATTTATGCTGCTAAGTGAAGCATTTGTTAAGTGAGATTTTTTGCCCCATTTTATGACCTTCCTAGCCACCATTGTTACTTGAGTGACTGCAGTTGTTAAGTTAGTGACCGGGATGTTAAGCGAATCTGGCTTCCCCATTGACTTTGCTTCTCAGAAGGTTGCAAAAGGAGATCGCCTGATGCTGGGGCACACAGCAACAGTCGTAAGTATGGACCAGTTGCCGAGCATCTGAATTTTGATCACATGATCCTGGGGATGCTGCAAAGGTCCTAACTGTGAAAAAAGGTCATAAGTCACATTTTTCAGTGCTGTTGTAACTGTGAAGGAAGCTGACTCCCTGGTATGGCCTGGAGGGGTTAGAGTGGGGTCAGGGAAGAGCAGATAACCAAGAGGAATGAGGATGGCTCCCACTGGGTGTCAAGGCTGGGGGGGGGGAATGCCTATCCTGTTGCCTGTTTTTATTGTGCTTTATTTTGAGGAAGGTCTCAAAAAGAGATGAGGGAAACCCCAAATCATAGAACGAAGACTTAGCCAGCCAAAGAATCACAGCCCTTTGGTAGCTTCCAACTTCCCACGGTTGCCTGGAGTGGGCAGCTGCTGTTGAGTCTTTGCTGACTCAAGTCTTCACACATCAACTGAGACTGAAAGGGAAGGGGTGAATCAGAGGGCAGCCTTGCCAGTCTGCTGATGTTGCTGCCTTCAAGGAAATCTTGCACCTTGGCAAAGAACGCAGCTGCCTGGCTTAGCTTCACCAAGAACTCCTCAACTCAAAAGCCCAAAGGTTCTTCTCCTCAAGGTTTCACTTTCCAGTTGAGTGGGGCTACACCAGGGGGCAAATCAACCAGCTACCAGGAAGGAAGAGATATAAAGCACAAAGGCATCAGGTGCAGGTAACATAATGTTCCGGCTTCAAATTCCTAGAAATGTATTCTCTTTTCATTACCTCTTAGCTGGCTAGAGAAGAGAGCGTTGCAGGCTACCCTCTTCTTAGCCACAAGATACCCACATCTTTCAGCTCTGGATGCTGCTCTTAGACCAAATGCATTCCGAGTTCCTCTAAGGTGGTGTTGGAAACAAGATACGGAGGGGAATAAATGGCAAGAGGGGCTCACGAGACTGAGGACTCACCGGCTGCTTGCACCAGGCACAACTGGGGTGGGACTGAATGCACTCATGGCAGGAAGGCTGAGGCCGGCAGGATCCTGAAAAGGAAACACAAGCGACCACAATGAGGCCTGTTGCTCTCCCCACCAGCTCTTCCTTCCTCTCTTTCCTGTTCTCCCTTCCTCATTCTACTTTCCAAAAATCCATAAGGTTACACAGATCCCGTCTCCTTCTTTGGATCCACTTCCCGAAGAAGCCCTAAAGTGACGACCCGTCAGGTGCCATAGGGTAATGCTATCCCCTTGGAAAATGGATTGGATGGGACTGTCCAACAGGATTTTCAAACTGTTATTCGGCTAGTGGCAAACTGGACTAGCAAAAAGTGACCCTTCTAAGACTGCTGCCTGGCACCAACTTGAATTTCAAGGCATATATTTGTATATATTTATGTTACAAGTTTATATCATTTATATGAACACTGGGCACTATCTAATAAAATGAAATTCAATGATAAAAAGTAAGGTTCTACATTTAGGCAAGAAAAAAGAAATGCACAGGTACAGTATAGGTGGTACATTGCTCAATAGTAGTAACTGTGAGAGGGGTCTTGGAGTCCTAGTGGACAACCATTTAAATACGAGCCAGCAGTGTGCAGCAGCTGCCAAAAAAGCCAACACAGTTCTAGGCTGCATAAACAGATCACGTGAAGTGTTAATACCACTTTATAATGCCTTGGTAAGGCCACACTTGGAATCCTGCATTCAGTTTTGGTCACCACCATGTAAAAAAGATGTGGAGACTCTAGAAAGAGTGCAGAGAAGAGCAACAAAGCTGACTAGGGGACTGGAGACTAAAACATATGAAGAACGGTTGCAGGAACTGGGTATGTCTAGTGTGATGAAAAGAAGGACTAGGGGAGACATGATCGCATGTTCCAATATCTCAGGGGTTGCCACAAAGAAGAGGGAGTCAAACTATTCTCCAAGGCACCTGAGGGTAGAACAAGAAGCAATGGGTGGAAACTAATCAAGGAGAGAAGCAACTTAGAACTGAGGAGAAATTTCCTGACAGTTAGAACAATTTATCAGTGGAACAGCTTGCCTCCAGAAGTTGTGAATGCCCCAACACTGGAAGTCTTTAAAAAGATGTTGGATTTGTCTGAAATGGCATAGGGGTTCCTGCCTAGGCAAGGGGTTGGACTAGAAGACCTCCAAGGTCCCTTCCAACTCTGCTATTGTATTGTATTGTATGTCACGGGTGTGTGAGTAATTAGTTCATTCTGGGATAAATCCTGTCAGACACCAAATATAAGTTTGTCAAAAAAAACTTGTTTATTTTTCTCATCCAAAAAGGAGGAGGAGGAGGAGGAAGAAGAAGAAAAGAAGAAAAGCAGAAGAAGAAGAAGAAGAAGAAGAAGAAGAAGAAGAAGAAGAGGAGGAGGAGGAGGAGGAAGAGGAGGAGGAGGAGTCTCCATCTTTCAGGATATTGAAAATAAAAGCTTAAGTGATAACTGGAATAATTTGCATGAAAGCTTCTGGTCTACTGCTGGTGACAGGGTCTAGATCGCCAGCGAGAAATTGTAAGCAGAAATCTGCCTTTGAAAAGGTTTCATTGTTTAGCATTCAAGTCACTCAACAAATGAATGTGTGAATTATTTAGTTGTCCAATTTGTACAGCTGCCCATCTCACAAAGCATTCTGGTGGTGTATAACAAATATATCATGCATGTTTCAGGTGCACATGTGTAGTGATTAGAGGGGCCTCCCACTAAAGCCTCCTTAGACTCTCTCCTAGATTCTGTAGACTTTCTCCTTTTCTGATTCTAAATTTCTCTCCCTCAAAATACAATAGTAGCACAACACAATAATAATGTAAAAATTAACCACAGCCAATAAATCTGACAATTACCCCAGTTGGCCAGCATTCTTTCCTGACCATCTCTTTCAACATGACTTTTCCATCTTGAAAATCTCTAAGTCATCCAAATAAACAATGGTTGCCAAGCTCAGGTCAGTGTCACTGCCTGGATGCAGGTTTCACTGAATCCAGAACAGATACATGCAACTAAGTCAATGCATGTTGGATTACATTGTGAGTGGAAAAAGTTGGGAAAGCAAATCAATACAGAACTGCAACATCGACAAAGTTTGGAACTCTATCTCTCCACACGGCTCCCCACACATTACCTGTTTCTGCTATCTTCTCCCCATGCATCATTCCTTGGAGCACAAGCAGAATCCCAAGGCTCACAGTCCATCCATCGGAAAGCATGGCCTGGAAAGCAGAGGAAGGAAGAGGAAAGAAAGAAAGAAAGAAAGAAAGAAAGAAAGAAAGAAAGAAAGAAAG